GCAGCAGCTAAATGACATTCTCAAGTCCTACCTGGAGAACTGGGAGGAAGAAGAACAGCGTAAGAAAAAGGAAAAATAAAATACCTCTTGGTTTTATGAAGAAAATATTAACTGCTTGTCTATAGCAATAGCTCTGGTAGTTTGTAATCTAGTATTTATTTAATGTGGGGTATTTTTGTTTGGACCTCAGCACACTGATACTTCTGTTTGATCTTGTAGTCACAAGATTAAAAGTTATTTAAGTGACTTTATTTGGTCAATAACCATAAATAGAGTGATTTTTCTGCTTGAGAAGTGCAATCATTTTATGCTTACAGTCTAGTTAATTAAACTAGTGGTATTTCACTGTTCTTCAGACTAAAACACCATGGTATTTTAGAGCAACTTTGTCACCTTCAATATTTACAGGTAAGTGACAACCAGGAAGAAGCTTGGCTATAACGATTAAAATAGCCCTTCCACAGCTTTTGGGAAATCTTAAGCACCATCCAGGACCTGTGAGGGCTCCAAGAGAGCTGGAGAGAGACTTGTCACAAGGGCACGGAGTGACAGGACAAGAGGGAATGGGTTTAGCTGGGATATTAGGGATAAATTCTTCCATGGGAGTACCAGTGAGGCACTGGCACAGGTTGCCCAGAGGAGCTGTGGCCGCGCCGTGCCTCTAAGTGTTCGAGGCTAGGCTGGACGGTGCTTGTGAGCAGTGCTGCAGCGGTGTCCGTCGTGAAGGGTGCCCGACTCACCGGGAATTCCCGGTGCGCTTCCCGGTTTTCCCGATCCCGGCCGCCTCAGGCCTCCCGCGGGCTCCGCCGCCGCCAGATGGCGCCACGCGCGCGCGGCGGAGGAAGCAGCCACTCCGGGCGGTGATGCGCCCCTCCCGCCAGCCCGCCACTGCGGCCGCAGCACCGCTCCGTCCTGAGGGGGCAGCGCCCGCTCCTTCCGCCGGGGGAGGGCTGAATGGCGCTTTTAAATTACTGCTGACACCTCTGTCCCGGCTCCCTAAAATCTCAATCAACAAGCCATTAGAACTCAACGGGAGTAAAACTAAATCCTCGTTTAAGTGTATTTATCCGCTCTCTTTTCTCTCTTTCAAATGCTAAATCCATTTCAGCATATGCCCCTTCTTTCTCTCGCCTTTCTCTAAAGACTGGCAGCCCGCACTACTCTTGTAAATATGAAAGATGCTAATCATATGACATATCACGTCTCAGTCGGAGCCTGGAATAAAGCCTTGAGATTTGGGATCATTGCCTCCAGACAACAGCTTCATCAGCCGGAAAGTTGGGTTTTTTTCTCCTTTCCTTCAACTCTCAATCCCTTCTTTGTCTGAGGGAAAATGCAGCCAACTCGAGCCACCCCGGCCATATGGTTCACTCTGTGTTTTCTTAGTTGAATCCTGAATTGTTTGTGACTTGCGAAGGGTTTTTTTTTTTGGGGGGTTTTTTTTTTTTTGGAAGTGTGTATTGAGACATAGAAGAGGCTGCCCGGCCTGGGGCAGCTCTGCGGGATAACTCCATGTTCTTCACGTGTTCTCTTTCAGCCACCTCACCACACAGACAAAAAGTATAAACCTGCAGACATGCTTCATTCCGATAACCTGTTACAGGTGTCTGGTATTCTTGCCCTTCTGGGCAAAAATATCCAGGTGTTTTTCCCTTTTCTGGGTGGAAATTCCTTCCTGAAACACCAGTTTTGTCTTTACTCAGCTCCGTAAAACAGTTATCGCTCACTGGCAAATCCCTTCTAGAGCTGCCTTGACCAAGAGAAGCCCCCGAGTGTTTTGAGTAAGGAAAAGCGGCTTTTTAGACCTGGATAAATTAGGAGCCGAGTGAGTTCGGCACACCCGAGCTTGGCTATCCCCCTGTTTGATAGCCAGCCTGCCAAATTTTCTTTCTCTCTTTCCTCACACAAACCCCCGCCCCCGACACCCCCCAAAAGGCCCTTTCACCAAACCATTAAATTCTACAGAGGTGGTCAAGCTAGTCCTGCTTTTCAGGCGTTCGAGAAAGAAAAGGGTCCTTGAAGTTTAGAAGATGCCCAAGGAAAACTCATTGAATGACATCAAAAGAATGAGTTTCCATAGCTGTTGAAGCACGAGAGCCGTGTAGCTGCACAAAGGCGGGTTGGGGCAGTGGGACTGTCCCACTGCTCTATCCCAGCACAATTGGGTCACTGAAATAGGGAATTAATTACCATTGGAGAGTGGGCAGCCCATTCACCACTGGCTGAGTTTTATTAAACGCCAATATAAATAACAAAACAACTCTTGTGGCTGCACTATTCCTACACGCCAAAGGAAGGATTATGTTGGGGATTAACATCTTAAAGTCTATGAGACTTTCTGACTCAAGGCTCGGAGCTGGTAATCGTATTTGTCTCCTGGTTCAGCGATTAGTGCTCTCCCTCGCGCACCTTCGCCTGGATGGCCAATGTCCCTTTTTGCAGGCACTGGGTTTTTCACACAATCGGCTGTTCTTTTCCCCACATCTATAGAAAAGAATAAGAAAACTGAAGCGTGTTCACGCGATCCTCAAGCTTCTTCTCTTCTTCATGGGAAAGGAAGGCACCGGCAGCCTTTTTTCACAAGGGGGGGGAGGCAAACCCTCTTGGTGGGGCGGGGGGCCAGCAGTGCAAAATCGCTCCGCAGGCCTGCACCTGCCATGCAAATCCGCCGGGAACAATCGGCCCCCGACGAGGGCCGGGGTGGGGGGAGCCAGGGAAAGATGCCGGGACAGCGCTTCTGGGGGGACCCTCCTCGCCTTGATCCCAGAACAAACCCCAAACGTGCTAATACAGCTTGGGAGTTGGGGGGCTGCTCCTCGTCTTGTCCCTCGCCGTGGCACTGCTTGCCGCAGCGTGCACGGGGTGTTCGGGAAGGACCTGGATCAGGATGTGGGGGATACGCACCCCAGCACTTTTGATGGCTTCCCTCCACAGTGCTCTGTTGTGTGGGGACATACTCTCACACCCCACTTAAGAGCACAAGCACCCCACTCCCAGGGTTTGTAGGTGCTGCCCAGGGATCACACAGGGATCAGGGCACCCTGGTGTGTGTGGGCAGCCCTGGGACCCCGAGCCCTCAGGACACTGCAGGGTACGAGGGAGGCAGAGCTGGGGAGGGGTCAGGCCACCCTGTCCCCACAGCTTTGTCCCCGCGTTTCCCGGGATGTCGTGCCCCTGTTCACCTGAGGCAGGCTGGCCATTAAGGCCGGCTCTCAACTTGTGAGGTCGACGTGTGGATGGGCTGTGCCCAAAGGTCTCTCAGCAACACAGACCCTAAACTTTTAGGGCTATCGGGTCGCCTCAGAGTTCAATCTTCTTACAGCAAACAAAGCCCTTCTGAAGGTCTCCCCCTCTCCCCCACACGAGCTCAGCGTCCTTTATTTCTGGGCTGTGTGATAAGCTTAAATCATTGTGCTCCCATTTCTTGATCGTTGCCTACTTTGGGCTTTTGTTCCCCTAAAGTAGGATTGAGTCTGGCAAAGGGGCTGGAGTTGAACAGTTTGACCCTTGGAGGACAGTTCAGGCGGTGGGCAGTGGCAGCAGCATTCCCGCTCCTGATCCCACTCCCTCTCCCCCCCGCCACCTCCTCTCCCCACCGCTCTCGGCCCGGCCGAGCAGCTCGGCCCTCGCTCTGCCCACAGACCACACAAGCGCCTCTCCAGAGCTCTGAGCATTTCAGCCGACCTGTCCTTGGGCACCTCGTGCTCAACCCTGCGGAAATAAACGCTGCATGGCAGGGGCTGGCAGCAGGAATGGGACTGAACCCCAGAAAAATAGAGTGTGCTTCCCCTCTCCAGCAATGGAAGCACAGAAATCTCGGCAAGCAAGGTGGGGACAGAGGGATGGGCTGGCCCTGTCACAAGTGTACTCTGCTTTGTCCCCTCAAAGTGCAGAAAAAGAAATAAGGTTCTTTTGCATCATTCCACTCGGATGCCGAGGGGAGCTGTGAGCCTCCCGTTTTGCACAAGGAAGCCAGGCAGTGTTAGGATGTTTTATAGAATCACAGAGATGCTGACTGAGGCACCCGCCCGGCCTCAGTCGCTCCCCAAGGCCATGCATCCCGAGTCAGGGACTGCTTTGGGTGTGAGTTTGTGCTGTGCTGAGCACGGCTTCTGCAGAGGCTTCAGCTCTTTCATCTATTCTGAACTTTTCTAGCAGTCGCAAACAAAATTCTGTTTCAAAGCCCAACTCCCCCCAAGTGCCTTGCTGACGGTGTTTCCACAGGGAGAGGAGAGTGTTCTGAGGTTTCGGTTTTTCATTGTCATTTCCTTGACACGGGCTTGGGGCGACAGGCAAGAGGGGACAGCTTCACACTGACAGAGGGCAGGTTTAAATGGGATATTGGGAGAAATCCTTCCCTGTGAGGGTGGGGAGGCCCTGGCACAGGATCCCTGGAAGCGTCCAAGACCAGTTGGACAGGGCTTGGAGCAACCTGGGATAGTGGAAGGCGGTCTGTGGAGCAAAGCCAGCCTGCCGACTCAGCGGCATGTCACCAGGCTCTGCCACTGAGAGAGGGCTGGAAGAGGGAAGAGGGATGAAAGGAATGAAGGTTTTCCTGGTGCACTGACAAGTTGGCGTTTGGTGTTTTTTAATAAGGTCTCCTCCAGCCTGTGAATTATATCTGACAGCATGGAGACGCCCGGAGTGCCGGGCTTTCCCCCACTTCGGGCTCTGCCCGATGCAAACGTAGCAGCAAGCCACGCACGGACCTACGCACCTTTACCACAGCACCAAGCGTCCCCAGAAGGCGAAACCCTGGCGGGCAATGAGAGGGTACGGAAGGGGAGCGCCCCCCACAACCCCTCTCTCCCTCGCTTTCCTCGCCGGGCCCGTGAAGGACGAGCGGCCGGGAAGGGGCGGGGGGCCGGCCGGCCCCGGGGCGCGCGCGTGGCCCCGCTCCGTCAAACCGGCGAACCGTCACACCGCCGGAGAGGCGAGGAGAGCGCGCCCGCTGCTTCCCGGTGCTGCCCGGTGCGGCCCCGTCCAGCCGCCGCGCAAGGATGCTGGTGAAGGCGGAGGTCCTGGCGCCGCCCGCCGAGGACGAGCTGCTGCTGCTGGGGCTGGGCTCGCCCGCCCCCTCGCCCTCGCTGCCGTCCAGCGCCGAGGAGGAGGAGGAAGAGGAGGAGGAGGAGGAGGAGGAGCTGCGCGCCGCCCCGCCGGCTCGCCCCGTCGAGGCTCCGGGCGGCCGCGGGCTGCGGCGGGCGGAGGGGAAGCGGCGGCCGGGGCGGTCCCGCGGCGCCCCGCGGGCGGCGCGCACGGCGGAGACGGCGCAGCGCATCAAGCGGAGCCGGCGGCTCAAGGCCAACAACCGCGAGCGCAACCGGATGCACAACCTGAACGCGGCGCTGGACGCCCTCCGCGACGTGCTGCCCACCTTCCCCGAGGACGCCAAGCTCACCAAGATCGAGACGCTCCGCTTCGCCCACAACTACATCTGGGCGCTCACCGAGACCCTGCGGCTGGCCGGGGCGGCGCGGCTCGGCCCCGACGGGGCGGCGGTCCCCGCCGAGGGCAGCCCCTCGCCCGCCTCCTCCTGGAGCGGCGGCGCCGCCAGCCCCGCGCCCTCCGCCTCCCCGTACGCCTGCACTTTATCGCCCGCCAGCCCCGCGGGCTCCGCCTCGGATCCCGAGCACTGGCCCGGCCGCTTCGCCCCGGGGCCGCCGCTGCCCCGCCGCTGCCTCTAGCCCGGCCCGGCGCTGCCGGGGCTCCCCCCGGGGCGGCGGCGGCGGCATCTGCCCGCTTCCCAGGGCAGGGCGGGCTGTGGGAACGGCACCTGCCAAACCAAACTTTCCGTCTCTCTCTCTCTCTCTCGCCGATGTGCACTTTGTCCAGTTTTCCCAGATCTGTCACCGCGGGGCTTTTGTGTGTGTGTCCCCCCCTTTTCCCCGCTCCCCTCTTTGCCATCTGTCCCTTATGATTTATAGGCGGGAGGGGGGTGCGAAGCGAGGGGGGGGAAAAAAAAAAGTAAATTGTTTTGTTAGGGGTCCAGGTTAGAAGTCATTGTATAATTTGTAGGCTTTGTGAGGGCTGAATGCAAGCGTGGAAATTTAGGCTGAACTCTCTATCAAAAGGGAAAAAAAAATCGGGAGGGGGGGAATGGGGAAGGATCTCCTCATACATTATTTATTTCGACCTTTAGGGGACAAGGAACTCCCCCCTTCTTTCAGGAGATTAAAAATAAATCAACAGACTGAAAACCTCAACAGACACGGAACATTACAGCGATCAGCCACACACGTGTTCACATTTATTTATTATAAAGACAGATTTCATGGAAAATATGTATTTTTTGTATAATTTACAGAGTTTATTCTAGTATGTATTTACAGCTGAAGAGCAAAGGGATTGTCCTTGTGATAAAATATAAATAAAAAGCTCTAATTTTCGTAACTTTGGGGTTGCTGCTTTTTCTGCTTTATGTGCCAGCGGCCGGGAATTTCGGGATCGGGCCTGTCCTTGTCTCTGGTGAAACCAAGGGCCTGATGTCACTGGGTCCGTGGTGTTTCTAACGCTGTTTCTTTGGGAAACAGCATCAGAGAGAGAGGGGGAAGTCCAGTGGAAGTTTACTGATCATTCACCTTTGGCTCTCAGTACAGAAGGCGAATGATCAGTGCTGACAGCAAACGCGGGACGGATGGATGAAGAGCTCTCACACTTCAGGCCGATGGATTTCACCAGCAGGGCCGTGGCAAATAAAGATCCATGGGTTGAAGGAGGAAGAATTTCCTCCCTGTGAGGGAGGGTCAGAAGAATCCCGGGTCGCGGGGGGCTCGGTTCAGCCGGGGATGTCACCGTGGAGGGGGGTGCTGGAGGCCGCCCAGGCCCTTCAATCATCGTCCCCGTGCTCCCGGGAGCACTTTGTGACTTCTGGGTCCAAACGCTTGGAAATCATTAAAAAGCAGCAGAGGCGCCTGCGTGTATTAATTAAATAAAACGCTCAGCACGCCAATCCCGCCCGGTGCCCTCCGGATCCTGGGAGCGTGAAACCCAGCCACGTCCGCCAAAGGAAGAGAGGCAAAAAGAGGAGGGGAAAAAAAAGCCCAAAATGTGTGAAAAGAGAATTAGTGAAATTAGGTTAGGCCAATAAACCGCGCGGGGGTCCACCCCCGGCCCCGCAGCCTCGGGCGAGCAGTGCTATCTAGCCTGATCTATTGTTTCCCCCCCTGGCAGGAGGGTTATTGTGTGATAAATAATTCCCTAAAAAAAAGGAAAAAGAAAAAGTGGGGGCATTTGCATAATCACTGCTTTGATGTGGCCAGCGAGATGAAGCTGTGCTCCCCCAAATCTGCCACGGGCCAGGAGGGACAGAAAGAAGGGGGAGCCTTTCAGGGCGCTGGCCGTGCGTGGGGCAGCCCGGCGGGAGAGGGGTTTTTCACTCTCACCCCTTTTAATGCCCAAACTCCAGGAATGCCAAAAAGGAGCCGAGCTCTCTCTCCTTCTTTTCTGGTCGGGCCTCATTGTCCTTCCTGGCTTCTCTCCGTCTCTGAAGAGGCACTGGAGTAGGTGCCTTCTGCTCTTCAAAAGGCCGGGATGGACGGGATGCGCTCCTCTCTGGGTGTTGGAGCAGGAGGGACATCCCGGGGGGCTGATCACCGGGATGCTCTCCTCGGGAGGGACGCTGCTCCTTGCCAGGTGTGTCATCCCGCAGGGGTTTCCCTCCATGCCAGGTACAGCGTTACCATCCTGCCGCCTGGGGCTGTGCCAACGGGAACCGCCGTGGGAAACAGCACACGGCGCGGCGGAGGGTGCAGGGGGGGGTTGGACAGGGGTTTGGGGTGGGAAAAACCTTCCCTGTTCCCTGGGGGAGGCTGGCCTTGGCTGGAGATGCCCTCGGAGGAAACGGGCCTGAGGGGGTGGCAGGGCCAGGCTGGCAAAAGCCGAGTGGGAGAGGCTGGATTTGTCACCTAACCCCGTCACCTTCATCCCGATTTTTTGTTTAAAAATGGCCAAAAAGTGTTTATTTCCCCTTCTTGCCCCCTAATTTGAGTTTATTCCTCTCCTTCGTTTCTGTTTTTCACTATTTCCCTCTTTTCTCGCCGGAGACTGATTTTTGGAGGAGACGGGGAGTCCCCAGAACCTGGAAGAGGACCAGGAGATGCGAGATGGGCAAACACCTCCTTGGATGATGTGAGGAACCTGGGGGTGGTTTCCATGGGAGCCCCTTGCCCCAGAACATGTGTTTATGATCCTTCTGTGTATTGTACTTTGGCATAAAAGCTCCTCTGCGCCAGCAGGGCTGGAGGGGCAGCCTGAAGGCCCCCGGGGGGGGGAGTTTACAGCCCTCCTTGGCATAAGAATGGCCACGAGGAGCCAAACCAGCACCCCAAGGGCTGCCGCACGCCGCCTTTCATGGCAGGCATAAATCTGTCCTGGCAGTGCCGCGGGTTAAAGAGCCCTCCCGACACGGCTCTCAGCTGGCCGGCGCGTTTCAAACCCGCTTTTCCTAAAGCCTTGCTCCAGTGCCTCAGGTTGGGCTTCCCCCTGCTCCTGTATTATGCATGGATTTGGCCCACGGAGCCCCCAAATGCCATTCCCCATGGGCAAAAAGGATCTCAATTATCTGCTAGACAGCCAATCCCCTGGCGTAAGCAGAAATCCCAGTGGGATCTTTTTTGTGACCTGATGGAGGTTGTTGTCCCATTACAAAACAAAATCTTATGTTTTAAAGTCCGAGAAAAACCCTTTTGCTCTGACAAGCTGAAAACTCGAGGACATAAAGATGTAAGGATTTAAAAATATAAGGATATCCTGCCTTCTACGATTCTGCAACAGCTGTGCAGGTCCAGCAAAATTCTGGCAGCCTGCTCATCCCCGTGACCTCTGGTACTGAACTGAGATTAAGGAGAGGCAGAACTCCTGCCAGATTTGAAATCAAACCTCTAAAAACTGGTTGGGAAAAAAAAAAAAAATCCTTGGAGGGTCACTTTGCAGCGGCCAGGAGGGAAGAGGGATGCTGCTGGGGCGGCTGTGACACACAGCCGTCCCCTCTCGCTCGCCTCCCCTCCTCCTCCTTTTATTAAAAAGCAGAGAGACCGGCCCAAAGCTGATGGCATATTTACCTTCATGAGTTTTAAAAAAAAGTTAATTACCGCTCGGAGCAAGTTGGTCGGGCTGTCCTGAGCTGTCTTTTATTAGTAGTCGCCTTCATTAATTTCCCTCGCTGGATTTGCTGCTAATAGCTGCCTGGTCCTGGGCAGCACAAAGCAGCATCTGTGCCATTGAGCAGAAAAGCGGGAGTCAGGCAAAGGGGGGCACGGGGCCGGGGGGGCGGGGGGGCGACGCCGTTTGCAAATCAACCTCTATTAACGTGATGTCCTGCTCGGAGAGGGGACAACGGCAAGCCCCCGGTAGCCGGCACGACAGTTTGGGCTGCGAGCGAGGGAGGAGAGGCACCTGCTGCCTGCCGGGGGGATCCTGCCCTCGTCCTGCTCCCCTGGGCGCTGGCTGCACCCCCGGGAACAGCCGGGATGCGGGAGCTGCCCCTGCGGAGCTGCGCGCAGGATGCTGGGCTCCCGCGCTAAACAAACTGTTCACAACTCCCGTGCCTTTTGACGGGAGGTACGCTCTGTGCCCCAAGAAGGGCTTGGCAGAGAAGTTCGGGATCAGGGAATGGGATTAGGTTCTGCCGGGCAGGCACAGCGGGCTCACACGCGCTGGGGCCAGCAGCCCCATCTGCTCCCGCTCAGCCCGGGGAGAGGCGAGATGATTTCATCCAAGTGGAAGAAAGGAGGGTGGCGTGTGTCGCTCCCGGGAGAGAGGGGTGAGAGCAGCACGCTGCCGCCAGCTTCCCCGCAGAGTGCCGGGGCTTCCCTCGAGGCAGCAGGTGACAGCAGCAGGCACCTCGCTGCTGGTTTGGTGGGAAGGAGACGCCGAGGATCCTGCTGCTGCTGCTGTGTTCCTCCAAGCAGAAGAGATGGGGCAGCGCGGGCCGCGGCTCTGCGCTTGCTGGTGCGAGGCTCTCCCCTCGTTCCCCGTGGAGAGCTGTGTCTGGGGAAGGAGCTGAGCCGGAATCCAGCAGCTGGGCTCTGGGGCAGGGGGGTTTATGCTGTCTTGTGTGCAGGGGCTGCCTCACAGCTGGAGGGGTCACCCCGTGCCCGCTCCGTGCCAGACGGAATGGCCCGGGATGCTGCGGCTCCGAGGGAGAGGGAGGGAGGGAGGCAAACCCGGCTCAGCCCCGTGTTGTTGGGATAACCGAGGGGCTCCCTTCCCACTGCATCTTTTCTAAGAGAAACTCCCTGAAGTGTTGCATTTATTGGCAAACGCGTGAGAAAATCATTCTACCTGTTAGCAGGCTTTGGTTTCACCAGCTTGTTCCCTGGATATCAGATTTACTAACTTGGATGCACAGGCACGACACACAGCTAACAAGCCTCTGCCTTTCACCTGGATACCTGCAGAAGGGGAAGGAGGAAAAACCTCTTTAAGCAAGCCTGACTTGCAGCAGCACTTACACAAGTCAAATCCTGGAGTTTAGGTGAGAGGAAAAAAAAGTTTCATGTTTCCTCAAGCGTGGTGTCCCTACATCTCAGATTTCACTGTCCCAGCACGGCACAGCTCCACTCCTTTTGTAGAGCCTGGCCCTCAATGGTTATACCGAGTATTCAGGTTGGAATTTGGAGAGTACAACAATTAATCAAGCCCAAAAAGCATCTCGGTAGCAAGTTGTTTAACACAAGCCACTGGA